ATCCGTTTACACTTTGATAGTAAACGATAGTAACAGCTGAACAACTCCTCATTATGCTTTATGCATGCAGCGGTGCGCCGCGCAACAAAATGTATCTGCAATACTTTACGATAGACAACGTGGAATCTCGCACAACGTTAATTGCCTATAAAAGAGATAAATAAGGTATAAACGCACGGTGCAGTCGCAAATGACAAAACTAAACTACTTAAACTAAAATACATAAATTATTGCCAAAGGGCGTGTAATTACTCGTATTACAAAACACGATTTCTCCGTAAAAAAAATCACGTAACCGAGTTTAAAAATTATAACTGGCAAATAAAAATTTCTTTTTCGATTAAGCAAAACTTTGCTTATTTTCTTTGGAATTTGCATTTAATAGATATGTATCACAGAGCAAATGTTATATGTATATATAAAACTAAGCGCGGTTAAGGTCTATTGATGTTTTTTCTAATCTATTATTTATTTTGCATTCACTAGCATTGATGTCCAGCATATAAAATAGATTGCATGCTCTAATCGTAAACACGCCTGTGATTGAAAGCAATAACCACGTGGAATAATCTTGATTAGCATTCAGCGAACGATCAACGTGTAAACGGAGCCTATACAACATCGTGCCATAAAATGTTTCATTCAACGCTGCAGAAATTTCTCCAAGCGTACCGTTTTATAATATAGGTTATTCACACGAATTTAATGTAGTAATTTAACAAAATATCAGCTGCATCGGCTGTGTGTGTAGAGAGTATATTTAAATATATTATATATCTTATCTCCAATCATGTCAAAAATAAAGAAAATTTAATCTTTATATTAAAAAAACAAATACTTTCGTGAAATCTCAAACGATCAAGTTTAATATTAAATACGCTGTTAAACGTGTTCTAAAGATTATAAAAAGTTGATACGTAAATAAACAAATTGCGTGAAACAAAGTTTGTAACGCCACGATTGACACTGATAATGAATTCACAATCTGAATGTGCCGTAATGATTGAGTAATAGATACTTATCTGCAAGAAGTGCATCCACGTAGTAGATGTGTTACATGGTTGTCATGTAATAATATTTTTTTCATTAGATAAAAAGAAAAGATCATTAAACGCGCGAGATAGAAACAGGTTTAAATTATCTTCTATAAAGAGTATTACTGCATACCTCTTTTCAGTAATAAAACTTTTTACTTTTGTTCAGATCTTAATGGTAATAACATTTTTATCAAAAAATTTATAATTAATAATAAACTGTATCTCTATATCATCTCTATATCGCTTATGGCGATTTATGCTAGCATTTATGTTTCTTGTTGCATAGATCTTAGAATCAGTTCCTCACTATCGCTCGTAGTTTCCATCTCAATAAACAACAGTGCACGCGGGCGAACTGCATATATATGGTACTTAATCAATAGAGCTGTAAGTAGTGGAAAGAATAAGGTGCAGATGACGTTTTTTGATGGAAACTTTAACATGCTTTAAAATGCTCTTTCGTTATCGGATAAATCGTTAAACAGAAGTGAATAGCTGTTCTTTGAAACGACAGGGTCAATAGCCAAAATAAAGTTAACATACACGTTTGGACTTATAAATTGTTTGACTGTAAAGAGCAATCAACATTTCTTCTGAAACCTAAACTCATGTTCTTATTTAATTAGATAGAAATAACACAAAATTAAAATTATTGTAAACTGTTCTTCCAAATTCAGCTCCTTAGATTTCATCTACATAACATATTTATATATGCATATATCATACATGTACATGAAAATAATGTAATAGTTCTGTTAACGAATAAAATGAATAAATATGTAGACATAATAAATATGATATGAAGAAAATTTGAATATGTCATATTTATTATATGACACATATTCAAATTTTCTTCATGTCACTCGTTAACGTAGATATGCTCATTTAAAAAATTCAGATCATGCCTTACTTATGGTACAATAAAAGATTAATAAAACTGTTATAAAGTAGGGGAAAAAACTTTCAATTAAAAAACTCTTTATTCATCGATAATTAATAGAAAAGAGTTTTCACTTATCAAACGATCTATGATGATAACTTGCTCAATAACTTACGAAATTAATCTTTAATTCTTTATCAAAAATTTGTACTTTGAGAGATACAATATTGTCAGTTCCTCATTATGCTTTATGCATGCAGCGGTGCGCCGCGCAACAAAATGTATCTGCAATACTTTACGATAGACAACGTGGAATCTCGCACAACGTTAATTGCCTATAAAAGAGATAAATAAGGTATAAACGCACGGTGCAGTCGCAAATGACAAAACTAAACTACTTAAACTAAAATACATAAATTATTGCCAAAGGGCGTGTAATTACTCGTATTACAAAACACGATTTCTCCGTAAAAAAAATCACGTAACCGAGTTTAAAAATTATAACTGGCAAATAAAAATTTCTTTTTCGATTAAGCAAAACTTTGCTTATTTTCTTTGGAATTTGCATTTAATAGATATGTATCACAGAGCAAATGTTATATGTATATATAAAACTAAGCGCGGTTAAGGTCTATTGATGTTTTTTCTAATCTATTATTTATTTTGCATTCACTAGCATTGATGTCCAGCATATAAAATAGATTGCATGCTCTAATCGTAAACACGCCTGTGATTGAAAGCAATAACCACGTGGAATAATCTTGATTAGCATTCAGCGAACGATCAACGTGTAAACGGAGCCTATACAACATCGTGCCATAAAATGTTTCATTCAACGCTGCAGAAATTTCTCCAAGCGTACCGTTTTATAATATAGGTTATTCACACGAATTTAATGTAGTAATTTAACAAAATATCAGCTGCATCGGCTGTGTGTGTAGAGAGTATATTTAAATATATTATATATCTTATCTCCAATCATGTCAAAAATAAAGAAAATTTAATCTTTATATTAAAAAAACAAATACTTTCGTGAAATCTCAAACGATCAAGTTTAATATTAAATACGCTGTTAAACGTGTTCTAAAGATTATAAAAAGTTGATACGTAAATAAACAAATTGCGTGAAACAAAGTTTGTAACGCCACGATTGACACTGATAATGAATTCACAATCTGAATGTGCCGTAATGATTGAGTAATAGATACTTATCTGCAAGAAGTGCATCCACGTAGTAGATGTGTTACATGGTTGTCATGTAATAATATTTTTTTCATTAGATAAAAAGAAAAGATCATTAAACGCGCGAGATAGAAACAGGTTTAAATTATCTTCTATAAAGAGTATTACTGCATACCTCTTTTCAGTAATAAAACTTTTTACTTTTGTTCAGATCTTAATGGTAATAACATTTTTATCAAAAAATTTATAATTAATAATAAACTGTATCTCTATATCATCTCTATATCGCTTATGGCGATTTATGCTAGCATTTATGTTTCTTGTTGCATAGATCTTAGAATCAGTTCCTCACTATCGCTCGTAGTTTCCATCTCAATAAACAACAGTGCACGCGGGCGAACTGCATATATATGGTACTTAATCAATAGAGCTGTAAGTAGTGGAAAGAATAAGGTGCAGATGACGTTTTTTGATGGAAACTTTAACATGCTTTAAAATGCTCTTTCGTTATCGGATAAATCGTTAAACAGAAGTGAATAGCTGTTCTTTGAAACGACAGGGTCAATAGCCAAAATAAAGTTAACATACACGTTTGGACTTATAAATTGTTTGACTGTAAAGAGCAATCAACATTTCTTCTGAAACCTAAACTCATGTTCTTATTTAATTAGATAGAAATAACACAAAATTAAAATTATTGTAAACTGTTCTTCCAAATTCAGCTCCTTAGATTTCATCTACATAACATATTTATATATGCATATATCATACATGTACATGAAAATAATGTAATAGTTCTGTTAACGAATAAAATGAATAAATATGTAGACATAATAAATATGATATGAAGAAAATTTGAATATGTCATATTTATTATATGACACATATTCAAATTTTCTTCATGTCACTCGTTAACGTAGATATGCTCATTTAAAAAATTCAGATCATGCCTTACTTATGGTACAATAAAAGATTAATAAAACTGTTATAAAGTAGGGGAAAAAACTTTCAATTAAAAAACTCTTTATTCATCGATAATTAATAGAAAAGAGTTTTCACTTATCAAACGATCTATGATGATAACTTGCTCAATAACTTACGAAATTAATCTTTAATTCTTTATCAAAAATTTGTACTTTGAGAGATACAATATTGTCAGTCATTCCTTTATTTTAAGAAATTTATATTATTATAATATAATATACATATACAATTATATATATATTATTTATAATATTTAATAACTTTATTATGTTTTTTATTATAGATAAAGTTGGATATATATATATAAAAAATGTGGAAAGTTCGATCCATTTTGAGCATTTTCACGACGCTGCTCATAACAAGATTTGTAAAAGCTGGTAAGAATGTTTTTGTTTTAATAAACGGTATCAGACAGCATTGTGAATATTAAATAATATTTCAATGTAAATTTATTATATAGTCAGTTCTATAACTGAGCGCTGAAGTAATTTTCGATTTTAAAATGCAATTTTAAACTAAAACTGCGACTGTAATATCACAAATTAAATTAACAAGTAATTTAATGATACTGATGCTCAATATCTTAAAAGGCTGTAAATAATTTATTGCGAAAAAAAACAGAACCGGATATGGATAAAAATTCACACCGAAATGTTATTCATACATATATAAGTATTAAAATCCAATTGAGACAAATATAAGGTCTTTTTATCACTTAATCTCTTTTCTATCTTAATATTAATTCATTCAAAAATTTTCCATAAATTGGATTGTTAAAAAAAAATTTACAAATTATATGTTTAATTCACAAAATTAGTATATAATATATATTTTTTAATAATATTTAAAAATTGTAAGATATTATTTAGTCAACTAAAAGTCAACTTAAATTATTTATTGGTCCTATTAAATTGCAGATTATTACGAGTATAATCAAGATCAATACAGACAAAGCAATACTCCCTTTAAATGTATAGAGGAGGGGTACCATCCCGATCCGTATGACTGTAGAGTTTATTATAGATGCGTAGATTGGGGCAACGGCAGCCCGCTGACGACCTTCAAATTTGAATGCGGAATAGGTACAGTGTTCTCGAAGGATAAGGGAGATATTTGTACGCATCCAGAAGATAGTGGTCGGCCTGAATGCGGCAGCTCCGAAAATGAACTCGATTCAAATGTACAAGACCCTCCTCCTATATGGACAACAACAATACGGCCAACTGTGTCGTCACAATCAACTATAATACAGTCTCCAATAACTAAACCCTCTACAATCACGACTGAAGCTCCGACAACAATAAAAAAACCAGAAACAACAATATTACCACCATTAACAAATCGACCAGCAACAGGCGAACCGGAAGATAACACTATTAATTGTCAAAATGAATACCAAAAATGTACACAAGAAGGATTTTTAGCTGATACATGTGATTGTAGAAAATTCTACAGATGCGTAAACAATGGTTATGAAAAGTTTACAAAATACGATTTTAAATGTGGCGTAGGAACTGTTTGGGATCCAGAAATTCAAGCATGTAATCACGCTTGGGCTGTTACAAGGAAAGATTGTAGGCAGAACTTGGAAAGTGGAGATAATAATGGACAATGGAACGGTGACAATGGAAATAACAATGGACAATGGAATGGTGATATTGGTAGTCCAGGACAACCTGGAAATCCGAATGGCCAACCAGGACAACCAGGAGATCCAAATGGCCAACCAGGACAACCTGGAGATCCGAATGGCCAACCAGGACAACCAGGAGATCCAAATGGCCAACCAGGACAACCTGGCGATCCAAATGGCCAACCAGGTTCGCCGGGTAGACCAGGTTCTCCAGGATATCCTGGAACACCAGGTTCACCAGGTACTCCAGGTACTCCAGGTTCTCCGGGCAGTCCAGGTTCTCCGGGATATCCGGGAACACCGGGCTCTCCAGGCACTCCAGGTTCGCCTGGTAGTCCAGGCTCTCCAGGCACTCCAGGTTCGCCGGGTAATCCAGGCTCTCCAGGCTCTCCAGGTAGTCCAGGTTCTCCAGGATATCCGGGAACACCAGGCTCTCCAGGCACTCCAGGTTCTGCGGGCAGTCCAGGAACTCCAGGTTCGCCTGGTAGTCCAGGCTCTCCGGGATATCCAGGAACACCCGGCTCTCCAGGCACTCCAGGTTCGCCGGGTAGTCCAGGTTCTCCGGGATACCCGGGAACACCCGGTTCTCCAGGCACTCCTGGTTCGCCGGGTAGACCGGGCTCTCCAGGTTCTCCAGGTAGTCCAGGTTCTCCGGGATATCCGGGAACACCAGGCTCTCCAGGCACTCCAGGTTCTGCAGGCAGTCCAGGCACTCCAGGTTCTGCGGGCAGTCCAGGCACTCCAGGTTCGTCTGGTAGTCCAGGCTCTCCAGGATATCCAGGAACATCCGGTTCTCCAGGCACTCCAGGTTCTCCGGGTAGACCGGGCTCTCCAGGTTCTCCGGGTAGTCCAGGTTCTCCGGGTAGTCCAGGTTCTCCGGGTAGTCCAGGTTCTCCGGGATATCCGGGAACACCGGGCTCTCCAGGTTCTCCGGGTAGTCCAGGTTCTCCGGGATATCCGGGAACACCGGGCTCTCCAGGCACTCCAGGTTCTGCGGGCAGTCCAGGCACTCCAGGTTCTGCGGGCAGTCCAGGCACTCCAGGTTCGCCGGGTAGTCCAGGCTCTCCTGGGAATCCAGACTCCCCAAATTCATCTGGTAATCAACCGTCAACGAATATAACTTAAAACACTGTATATGTGTATATTAAACTTTCACTATTAGTATAAATGAAATCTTGTTTTTAGGTATTTGTACAGTAGAAGGCTTTTTCGCTGATCCACAAGATTGTCGCAAATTTTATCGATGTGTCGATAATGGTATGTCCTCCTTTATAAAATACGACTTTCAATGCGGCGTTGGAACCGTCTGGGATTCGTCTATTCAGAGTTGCAATCATGCTTATGCTGTACCACATTGCAATAATCAAGCAAACGGTGCAGTTACAGACAAACCCGGCACATCGATGAATGAAGTGAATAGTACCATTGGACCAGATACAAGCAAATTACCACCGGAATCTTCTGAAAGCTCGACTTTCCCAACATCTTCAAAACCAGAGATACAATCTTCAACTCAACCTGATAGTACTACAAATAATCCTATTGCATCATCTCAGACGACGTCAACTTCTTATTTGCCACCTAGTAGTACATACTCGTCTTCAACAATGCTTGTTACCGAATCTGTTTCTTATGTTCCTCCTGCATCCCAAATGACCACTACATCTGTATCTTATTTGCCACCCTCGACTACTACCAGTGAAATATCTGGATCTACATCTGAATCAGTTTCATATTTACCACCTGATAATACTACAACAACTTCACCTCAGAATGAAAACTCCAAATGTACTAAAGAAGGTTTCTTTCCGGATCATGATAACTGCAAAAAATTCTATCGTTGTGTTCAAGACCAGTCCGGATATCAAAAATATGAATTTGAATGCGGTCCTGGCACTGCATGGGATCAATTAATACAAACGTGTAATCATATTGATAAAGTAGCTTCATGTTCAACAGATAGTAACGAAATCGATCAAGGCCTTGGTTCCAGTACTCCTACATCTGAACTTCCTGCCATGAGTAGTTCCACAACTACTGATTCTAGTCAAACTACATCTTCAATTCCAATATCTACTGAAAGTACTACATCCGAAACATCCACTGAATCAGACAAAACAGACTCGTCATCAACAACAAGTACTACTACATCCATTAGTAGTAGCGAAAATCCTGCTTCAGAATCACCTGAAGAGGCTCAAATGCCTGGAAGTTCCAGTACGGAAAGTTCGTCCGAATCCTCATCTCAATCTACTTCTGGATTAAATGAAGGATCTTCTTCATCTACAGAGTCACATGCACCAGATTGTGCAACACAAAAACCGAGCAATGCAATAATATGCAATAATGAAGGATTTTATCCGCATCCGAGTAGGTGTGATAAATTCTATCGCTGCGTCGATAATGGCAATGGTTTCAACGTCTATCATTTCGACTGCGCACCAGGCACTATTTTTGATCCCAGCATCAATGTATGTAATTATCCTGAATCTGTTTATCCCACAAGAGACTGTACGACTGGAAATACTTCAAGCAATGTAGAATCCACAACTCAATCCGGAACGTCTGAACAATCAACATCAATGGAAACTACTACTGTAACACAGAGCACTCAGCAAACAGAAGAGAGTACAAGCACATCAACAGAGATTGGTACAACGACTTCATCTACAGAGACCACTTCAGAAGAAAACGCTCCCGCTTCTAGTACAGAATCAACAACATCAAATATACCAGAGAGTAGCGAAAGTATGACAGAGTCTACTACTGAATCAACTACTGACACTACAGAAACCGCTAGCACTGAACAGAGTAGCGAAGCTACAACTGAAGCTGCCGCTTCTACAGAATCCGGAACGTCTACGACTGAGATGCAGTCTACGGAATCCCAGGAACAGTCGACAACTGAAGAATCAAAAGAACCGTCTACAGAAACTCAAGAACAATCAACGACTGAACAATCCACGACAGAATCTCAAGAACAAACAACGACTGAATTATCAGAATCGACAACAGCAGAGCCAGGAGGCGCAACACCTTGTCTTATAGGCAATTTAACTGATGAGCAAATAACTCTGGTTTGTCCCACTGGTTTCCGAAGACATCCGAAACATTGTAATCTATTCTATCAATGTTCTTCCGAAGGCAACATGGAAATAAAGATTCTCGTGTTGAGCTGTCCCGAAGACACTATTTTTGATGAGAAAAAGGTTCAATGTTTACCCGAAAGTGAAAGCAGTCAATCATGCATGGGAACCAGAACAAGCGCCAGATTTTATAGAAGATTAGAAGACCATGCTTCATCACTCGTAAGTACATATTTTCGATCAACTAAATAAATTTTTATTAACAAAAATATTTATTGCAAAATGTTTTATCAATTTTAGGTAAAGGTATCGTCAAATCAACTTTGTCCGCAAGAAGGACATTTTCCTTACCAACAAGGTTGCAGTAATACCTTTTACAAGTGTAAACGCGATAGCCAAAACAATTTACAGGGATACCTCTATAAATGTCCCGAAAACTTTGTTTATTGGTCGGTTTCCAGAAGATGCGAACGTATGACACGTCTCCCAATATGTTCGCATTTGTCTTACAAAAACAAAATTGACTGGAACGATCGATGGCAAATCCCGATAGAACATTTCAATCTTTCCGCCAGAATGTTACACTTCTCTTGATTGCTTGATAACATTCCTTATATTCTATACTCTTAGTAAATACGAGTTGCAAATTTGCCATAACAATGTCTATAGAGAGCATGTATTTTTCAAATTAATTGACATTCTTGATGAAAAATTGGAATAATTGAATGTACTGTAAGAATTAGCCAAATTACAATATTAGCAAATTGATGATGATGAATTGCTAAAATAAATAGATGTGTTAGAGTAATTGGATATTTATATGAATGCAATTAATATACAATACGTGTGTATGACGTCAATTTTTTTATAAATTATGAAACATTCCTAAAATAATATTCTAATTGAACTTTTTGCTTATTTTAGTGCAAAAAGTTATTTTTGCTAGTGCAATATATTATATATGTATTATCCAATAATTTACAATACTTAATGACATTTAACAACATGGCTACGGAAGATCTCGATTAAAGATTAATAATAGATCTTCAGCAGTCGTCTTGAATAAATTATTGTCAAACTGCCATTACGCAATTTTTAGTCAGTAATAGTTATGATGGTGAATCTATGAATAATTATTGACGAATGTGTGAGTACAAGAATAAATTTTTATTAGAAAATTGGGATTATTTATTTTTGCTAATATTGTGTATTTCTATCAGACTAGCTTTCGTTATCACTAAATATGAAATAAAAACATATATACATATGTATAAAGATATGTACTTGCAAAAGTAAATAATTTCCAATTTTTTTGTCGAATTATCGTTCAGTATCATTATTTTTTTAATTACTATTTGATACTGGGGATGGTTGCGGGACTTATATGCAATATATTTATTAACTCAATTTCATATCTTCACATAGAAAATATTCATGAAAGACACATCATTAAAAAATGTAGAATTTTGTTAAATGTAGCAGCTATAGTTTTTTAGAATATAGATATTGTGTAGAAATAATCACGCGCAATGTACACGCGTTTTGTACATATCCTGACAAGTAATTTCTCGTGAGAAGTTAATGCTTTTTCACAAGTATTCTAATACATTTGTCAGACAATATTTATAGTATTTGAATAAATTAAGATTAATATTTGTTCACTTAATTCTGCGACGTGTTTGCGTGTTATTTATATTTGATCTCTATGTGAAATTTGTATTAATAAATTGTGTGTATGGAAAAAAATCGATATTTTACTTTTCTCTCCCCTTTTTTACGTCAAACTGTTTAGTTTAAAATTTTGTTTAACATTTCTACTAAATATACATTTATGTATCACCAACTACCATCAATAAAATAAAATATTTAAAAATGTTAAAATTACTTTTCTATGTATAGGAGTACAAAAAATTAAAGTTAAAAAAATTGACTGTATATTAATAACAATGCCTCCCCCGAAAATATCAAGACTAGAATAAAAAATAATAAATAAATCGCATTAATATATTGAGATAAAAAGAATAGCAAGAATAATTTTAAGAAAACGATTAATTTTAAGTATAAGAAAATGATACTTATTCCAAGATTGCTCCACCAATGCCTGACGATGTCTCTTCCATCGACTTCCTCATCTTTTCAAAATTAGCTTGTCATTTTCTCTCACATAGGACACTCGTGAAAAACACTCATGGATAATATTATCTGAAATATACAATATATAAAATTGTAACAATTATATTGAAGCAAAAGAAGAATTTTATATTAACAAGTATTTTTTACTTTTACTTTAGACAGAAAATATTTAAAAATATATTTTATAAATATATATATTTTAAATATTTTATAAATATTCTGTGCTGTGTCTGCAGAGATGTTGTATGTATGTTCAGTATTCTCTGTCCACAATATGTGAATATAATACAAAGTACAAACATTACGGACTCATTATATCGTTTCCATTTTTCAATGAACTCTGCTAATTTTATCGAGTGTTGCAAAATGGATGTATGTAATACTGGCGGTAGTATATGATGGTATACGAACGATTTCGACGAAAAAGGCCGAGTTGGCTTCCCTTTTAATTCTTCTTTATTTTCTTTTATCCTGTAGATATCCTGTGGTGGATTTCAAATTCAAAAGAGATTGAGATAGTCTCTCTTTCGGATTTCTTTCTGCTCCGAACGCTTGTTCGGCATGCGCGAACTTTGCGCTTGTGTCGCGAGTGACGAATGAATTGATATTCAACCAATAGGTAACGTCATGGAGTAATACTCCGTGGGTAACGTATAAACTGAACAAAAAAGCTAACCTGCTCAATTGTCCATGTTAGCCAATGCAATACAAATATTTTCAATTTTTGGCATTGATTAAAAACGCTATGCACTAATTACTATGAATGAATATAATAGGAATCAATCAAAATCAATTTGAAAAAAGATCACGTGATCAAAATTGACGTTTGATCACGTTTGATTTTGTTAATTTTGATCACGTGATCCTTTTGTTATCTACCTACGGTCCATTTGATGCGACAAATGCTTTGAAGCATTATTTGATTGTTCAATTAATAGAATTCTTTCTTCCTATTGGTCAATCAAAAGTTTCGAAGCATTTGTAGCGCCTGTGGACCGCACCAAACGGCCGATTGGAGCGTTCGTGAAATTGTACATACTTGTACCTAACCTAACAGGCAAATAGTGTCAGGTGTTCACAGGTGTTAATCGTATTAACAATACTGTCAGTTCCGAATGTGACAATTGGCGTTGATGTTGTGTTTCACAATTATTTACATTTCTAGAATTGTTGATGATTTGAGTTTGACAACTCGAGTGAAGATTGGTGAAGATTACTCTTGTTTTTATTAAAACAAAACATCATAAAAAATGATTCCAGTAATTATAATATTTTATAGAAAGAAAGGGAGACATTATTAAATTGATTAAAATATCAAACCTCAATTTTTATTGAGTAGAATTACGTTTCTAATGGATTATATAAATCTAACTCTATATCATGAATATATATTCCAACGTACTTCTTTTTAGGTATGTGATACTCTGAGGATCCTTCATTTGCCTCCAGAACTTTCTGATGACCGGCGCAATGCATTATTACAAAATTATGGTGCGACCAAGACCAAAACGATACGACCGTCTAGCAAGTACACTGTTACCTTTGCCAAATTCGTATCCCAACAATTAGCAACAGAAGCACTGGTGCGTCTGCATCAGTTAAATGTCAGAGGACAACACCTATCGGTTGAATATGCTAAAAAATCTATACCCACTGAACTTTCGGAACAAGGCATTGAACATAAAATATCAGTAAACAATGATATGAAAACAGAAACTGTCAGTAAGTCTGATGTTCAAGCATTCCTGCGAAAATTAAACAATTGGACAATGAATTACGAATTCAGTCAACCGCCTCCACCAAATATAAGATACAAATATATGACACCGACAAAAAGTACAGTGGCAAGAATAGCTATACAATTGTTGAATCAACCAGCTTTTTATACACAGGTAAACTATCAGGTCTTTGTTACAAGATTTTACTTTTATACAACTTTAATTAATATTATTGTAGCTGTATGTATATTCGTAGGTGTTGCACTTGATGAACAAGATGAACCTACCTCCTCCCTTTGAAGAATTAGAAATAGAATTTCCTATGCTTAGGGAAGTGTACGATATGGAGAAATACAAAGGTATTTTATAACAGAGGATACAGTCAACTTGATGTTGCAAATACTTTACATGAAAGCATTTCTTAATTACTCAATTAGTAAAATTCTTCTGATCAATCAAATGCTAAAAAATATTTGTAGCGAGACTTTGATCACATTCAGAATTGTGAATAGTGATAAAAGATCAAATAAATTCTTCCTGTTTAGATGTATTCCTTGAGCGAGTAAATGAAGAAGAATCAGAGGAAAAGGAGTCAGAGTTAGAATCGGATGGAGAAGACAATATGCGACCTCTAGAAGTTATCCCTGTTAAAAGGAAAAGACCGCAGTCTACAAGACGTATAAAAATTCCAAAATTTGTGAACCCTGCTAAACACATAGCGATACCTTCGTCAACGCAAAAAGTGCTCAAGCCAGAAGATATGTTCGAGTCTGTTCAACGCGGAGAAACTAAAAATCTGAAGATCGAATTAAAAACTCTGGACAAATCATTAGAGACAACATCTGCTAATCAAGATAGTACTGTGGCCATAGATGGCGGATTCGGATTAATATTTCCAGCTAATAAAACTATTGAGGACGAAAAAGATACTGAAGAGAATGTAGAAATGACAAAAAATAAGTTTATAACTTCAGAGGAATTGGCGACTAATAAGATCTCTGCTAACGATCAGAGATTACTTCCTGTGTTCAAAAATTATCATCCGGGCAAACCTTCCAATCGCCTCTACATCAAAAATCTTGCAAAACAAGTTGAAATGAAGGATCTACATTATATCTATCAAAGATATGCTATTGCAGGATTAAAAGATGCTGAAAATGAGTGAGTATTTTACTACTATTGTTGCTATTTATGGTTTATATGCTATTTTATAATATATCTTGATTAATATTTGTATTCTAGTTACGATGTACGACTTATGCAAGAGGGTAGAATGAAAGGACAAGCATTTATCACTTTACAAAATGCTGTACAGGCAAAAATGGCTCTCGAAGAAACAAATGGATATATATTAAAAGATAAACCTATGGTTGTACAATTTGCCAAAACTAATAAAAGTTAATACATATGTTTAATTTAGTCTTAACGTATTTCATAATATAATTAAAACATTAATTTAAACTTTCTACTTCGAAAACAAATTGTTTTGCAATAAACAATGCAAATGTCTTTGCATCAGACTTAAAGCAGTTTTACGTAATTTTATTTAACAATTAACAATATCTAATTTGTACGTGTATATTTCATTTGAGTAAGCGTTTAACGTCGTCTAAAATGTAAATTTTAGTAACGATTTATTTCTAAAGAACAAATTTTACGTTTCTTTAAAAGTCTCTAATGCAATTTATCTAAGCTAATAAAGCATCTAGCGCTCTCGTTACTTCTGTAAATATTTCATTCACTGTTCCTTCCGCATTAATCTGAAAGAAAATATTTTATTTATAGTTTGTAGATAATACAACGGAATAAATGAAAAAAATATGTTGTATATCTAAACTCACTACGACAACTTTGTCTTTGTAATGTTCGACAATCTCGCTGTTTTTTGCATTAAATATTTCGATTCTTTTGTTGATTGTCTCCTCATTATCATCTGCTCTTTGAGACACAGCAGCGCGTCCAAGGAGCCTCTTCTTCAAAGTATCATTTGCTACATCGAAGAAAAGTATCAAGTCGACGGGGCAAACCTGCGCAGCAACATATTGATAATTTAAAGCGAAAATTACTTGTAAAGAGAGAAGAGGTAGCCTTACATTTTCCTCGAAGAGAATTCCCTGATCCTTCTCACGAGGGTAGCCATCGATCAGAAATCCAGTCTTCGTGATTCCTTCCTCGCGAGCTTTATCCATGTGTTCCTTTATGAGCTTCAGTACAATGTCCTAGCGAAACCACATGATCTTCACACTGAGAAAAACCGGGTTTATCGCGTAAGACGCGCGATATATATTTCTCTATTCTTTTTTTGTTTATTTTTTCGGCGCACAAGCAATTTCGATTTTTGGTCTTATATTTTTACCAAACTTTTAACAATGTTATATATTTTTTTTATTAAAAAGATTTATTTATATATTTATTTAAAAATTAATGTAAATACAAGTTAATTAATTCATGAGTGTGGTGAAACGAATTAATGGAAATTACATACTGTTGGCACAAACAGTCCTTTGGACATCAGATCCTGAAGCGATGCTCCTCTTTCGCTGCCACTAGCAACTTCCGCTCTCAGCAAATCGCCACTGCTCAGATGAAGTAATCCATATTTTTCGATCATACGGTCACATTGCGTTCCTTTGCCGCATCCTGGCCCACCAATTACCCAAATTGTTTTCATCTTCCCTGCGTAACTTTTTTCTCTTCAGAGCGAATGCTAGACTAGAAACAGCAGCTGTTTAAAGTTCCTTGAAAATCCAAGGGAGAAAGACTAGAAGATATTTTCAATTTAAAACATTGTAAATTCTCACTCAAGCGTATTAATTTCGAATGCTTTTTTTATAATGTAAGTTTACTGACTTTTCAACAAATTTAAAGGACTTTCACATATATGTATGATATAAATGATTAATAAATCTATTTTTTTATATTCATCATTACACAGGATGTGTTTAAAAAAAAATTATTCAGTACTCAAATGGTTTTATTGAACATTCTGTATGTATACTTTTCTTTCTTATATTTGTATGTATTTGTATTGTATTGTTTAATTGTATTTGTTCGCAACTATATTCATATTTACATAATTTTTTTAATTTCTTATTGTGTGCATTAAAAATTCAAAAGATTCTTTGATACTCTAAACAATGATCGCGTTCAACAGACTCAACTGTAACGAAGTGAGCGCTTAATTGTTACTATTATTGGATGATCTAGAAAAATACATCAATATAGCAGCGAGCAGTCACGTTGAGTCCGTTCCGCAACGTTGAGTTTACTGAATGCGATCAATTTAAGCCCTAATAAAGGAGGATAGATAAAATTACTTCGGATTTTGGCCTAAACAAATGTTTCTTGTATAGGTTTTCTTGTATTCTTTGATATGTTAAATTATTTGCAAACGTTAATTTTAAACTAAACTGCAGATAGGAAAATATTGAAAATTGCAATTATAAAGATTTCGACAAAATTGTGGTCTTTTTTAATTAATTTCAATGTGATTTTCAACATGTTCCCATCAGATCAATTTGAAATAGACTTTTGCAAATGATTTAGCACATCAAAGAATACAAGAAAAAGTGCACAAGAAAGGTCCCATTGTTTAGACCAAAATGCGGTAATTTTACCCATTCCTCCTTTCAAACGCGTATCGATTTCTCGCACGGTTGTCTTCCACAAGACGCGCCTGCGCCCTAAGGAGAGCTCATTGACATTTCCGGTTGCTCATCACCTTGAACTCTCTCCAAATGTCTCACACGGAGCCAAGTATAAAAGCGAGATATAAGAAAATCGACGGTTCTCTCGATTTATTCGCTGTTGCCAAATAAAACGGAGATATTAAATTACGACTTTGTGTGACAGCTATTCTTATAAGCCCTCTTTTTCTAATTTAAACGGAAAGAGGTTGGAGAACAGGTTAAACTACAAAAACAGATTTCAAACACTTGCAAGGACTATCCTGACACAAACGACGATAGTTTTAGCAATATATCGGCTGATTTCGAGCACAATTCAACTCACTCCTCGTCTCCGTTTGATTCTGGTTAGAGGAAGAGAAAATTAACTGGCGATGGTCCTCGAAGCGCTTCTCGGTAAACCCGTTCCGCGTATCGATTGTCGGGGATGTAGAGTTCAACGCAGAAACGTATATGAGCGCGATAGAAGAACGCGGGAATGACTAAAGAGTGTTCCGGCCCGATCAAATATCGTTTCCCGGGATTATGTGATAATAGAGCTGTGTATTACACAATATCATAGAAGATCTATATAAATATAGCGACGGGACGCTTAAAAATAAATCTGTGGCGAACATATGGGGATGATGATCGTATATCTGTGTTGCGGAAAGTGTAACTAGTACTCCGGATCGCGTGTTTTACGTAACTGAAATATGAGAATTGAACGAGCCTTCGTGTTACATGCGATTCCTAAAATAATGCAAATGAAAATTACTGTTAATTCATGTTAATTAGTGCGATTCGCGTAAGATAAATATATGTATATATAAGTTAACTCATTTACTTCTACTTTTCATGCAAGAGATTGTGAAATAAGAGTTACGAAAGAAATCGTTCGTTTATATAGATACCTTATTATAATGTGTCCCGGGTGCAACTATTTAGTTATGGTTGTTCCATATCGATGCAAATAATACAATCTTTACGACTCACAATTTCTCGCGTAGCGAGAATTGAACGCTAGATAGGATCGTCCTTGAAAGGATAATTGTCGGTTGAGTATTTATCTCAGGGATACGGCGCTTCCTGAAGATATAAGTCACTTCCTGAAAACATCGCGATGCAAATTGCGAACGACGTTATCAGGGCGAGGTTTGTTCGAAAATATTTGACACTGACAATAATTAGGGTTGCGTTCCGATTTTGTTCCTTGTTTATGATCATTTTGCGAACAACAAAGACAAATATATTGATACCTCATATACGCATCATATACGAAATATATTGGGTCTGTTTCTCGACTTCTCTTCGCACATTTTTACCATCTCATCAAAATAGATTACGTGATCAAAATTGACCAAATATTCGTCAATTTTGATCATGTGACCCTTTTCACCACTCCTTTTTGACTCACACTAGCTATCGGTTGCAATCGGTTGGAGCAAATTGTATTTGAGTCGGACTGTGTATCTTGAAATCAAATGAAAATTATAAAGGTAAACGACCAATAAAAGTGTTGACCATTTAAATTGTGAATATTCTAGTAAATTCGTTCACTTTTGTAATTTTTCACCTCATTTCGTGATACACAATTGATTCCTCTAGTATATATATATTTTGTATATCTCGAAATAAGGTGAAAATTGCACAAATGTGCAAATTTAGTAGAATATTTATTGGTTAATATCTAATAAATTTGAAATTTATAATTTTGATTTTGCTTAAGATACACGATCGACATCCTGATTGGCTACCTGCGATGAAAATTGGACAAGACTGGAGGAGCACCATCGCAATTTTTTATACGATGCTTTAACCTCTCGAGAACGCATGTTTTCTGCTTGTCACCACTCCACAGGCCACACCACTCGCGTTCATCTTGTCGGCAATCGCGAAGTATTAAAAAGTTAATTCACTGATAGCGCGTGTGATAAAGACTTTTGGTTGAAAAAAAGGAAGATTCCAAGATGGTAAGCTTTAATGCGAGAAACACGAAAGTGTCATCAACCGCATCTATGAACGTTTATCCATGTCGATCTCGTCTCCACAAAAACCGACCCTCGAGATGACGCCTCGTGCATTATCTCATACTACGCTTTTATATTTGATATTTGCTTTTCGTTTTTGTCATCACTATGTTTTTATTAAACGTCATATTCTCTCATGGAGAGAGATACCTTGCCAAATCAGAGAGATATCTCGTAGCTTTCGCGATTCTTCGTAATTAGTCGATCCTCAGCTCTTGTCTGTTTTTATAACCTTATAAGGAAACTTATTTCGCGCTGTACCCTCCACAGAAGAATTTGGACAAAAAATTAAAATTCGGCATATAAAACGTCTTAAAGACACTTTTCGAGAATTTTCTAAAAGATATGAAGGTTTTGAACTTGATGTTATTTGAATCTATTCTTGTGACTCTGGCAGTCATATTTATTTCTGTCAATATAGATTAATTTTAATTTTTAATTAATTTAATTTTATTTCTTATCCTTTCTTAATTCTTAAAACTAGAAAGAGATAAAAAGTAAATTAAACCAAGATTAAGGTATGCAGATCTTGAAACGATGGATTCTGATCTTCATTTTTCTTGTCATTCAATAATCTTAAGTTTAGTCATGTTGCTTGAAATCTCCAAAAATTTTTGCTCTTAAAATGAGATGGACATATATTTAGGCGTTGATAAGAAAAAAGTAAAGATGCAAGCAATGCAAATAGACCCCCTCTCTCTCCCTCCCCTCCCTTCTCCTCCTCTCTCTCGTTCTCTCTTGCTCGAATTGCTTTATAATTTATCTAGCAAAAAAATATTGATATCAGAAACGGGAAAATATGCAAGGGTATCTATTTACTTAAGTTAAAATGATTTAAATATATTTATCATTAATTTTTTCTGTTATTGATAAAATGCAGCAACCTCAAATAATTCTACTGAAGGAAGGCACAGATGCGTCTCAGGGAAAACAACAAATTATATCCAATATAAATGCATGCCAGATAGTTGTGGATGCCGTTAGGACCACCCTAGGTCCTCGCGGTATGGACAAGCTCATAGTCGATCAAAATGGAAAGAGCACTATATCCAATGATGGCGCTACTATTTTAAAATTATTAGATATTGTTCATCCTGCTGCTAAGACTCTTGTGGATATTGCAAAATCTCAAGACGCTGAGGTAACAACTATTTTGTTATTCTCATTAATATCTTGTTCTCTGGAAACAATATATTTAGGCCGGCATGTTTTTAATAACACGTCGACTTGGAATAACGCAACAAAGATAACGTTATGCTGGCAAGAATTCAGAGGATATTAAATCTAGAACGTATATAGACTGGCAATTTCCAAAAGATTTGTGATTGTCTCATAAACGTTCAAACAAAATAATTCAATATGAAGATAAAATAGCATGAGCAAAGAAAAAGAAATTATTGATTGAATATTCTGTTATTTAACAGGTTGGAGATGGTACGACTAGCGTGGTTTTGTTAGCGGGGGAGTTCTTGAAACAAATGAAACCATTTATAGAAGAAGGTGTACATTCACGTATAATAATCAAGGCTCTCCATCGTGCACTTCAAATAGCTAAAGATAAAATTAATGAGCTAAGTGTCAAATTAGACAAACGTGATACAAGCAAACAGATTGAGCTTTTGGAGGAATGTGCAGCCACAGCTATGAATTCCAAGTTGATACATCAACAAAAGAATCATTTCAGCCAATTGGTTGTAAAGGCAGTCATGAAGCTAGACGAATTACTTCCTCTTAATATGATCGGAATTAAAAAGGTGACATATATATATGTATATGATTTTATGTTTTACAAATGATTTTAATATGCTGACACAATTAATTTTTGAGTGTAACATGTTTAGGTTTCTGGAGGCGCACTGGAGGATTCAGAGCTGATCGAAGGGGTGGCCTTCAAGAAGACCTTCTCATACGCCGGATTCGAAATGCAGCCGAAAAAATATGAAAAGTGCAAGATTGCATTACTGAACATTGAGCTGGAATTAAAGGCTGAACGGGATAATGCAGAAGTGCGTGTGGACAATGTATCAGAGTATCAGAAAATTGTTGACGCGGAGTGGCAGATTCTTTATGATAAGCTTGATCAGATTCACAAGAGCGGTGCGAAAGTAGTGTTGTCCTCGTTGCCGATCGGCGATGTCGCAACACAGTATTTCGCGGACAGAGACATGTTCTGCGCCGGTAGGGTACCTGACGAGGATCTCAAGAGAACGATGAAGGCATGCGGTGGTGCAATCTTAACAACGGTGCACGATATCAAGGACTCTGATCTCGGAAGTTGCCAAACTTTCGAGGAAAAGCAAATTGGTGGTGAAAGGTAATTTAATGATATTATTAATCATTCAACAATATATATCGATTGTAAGTCAATCCGATATGACGTTTTATAATTGTATCTTTAGATTCAATTTCTTCTATGAATGTTCACGAGCGAAGACATGCACATTTATTCTGCGTGGAGGCGCGGAACAATTTCTAGAAGAGACAGAGAGATCTCTTCATGACGCAATTATGGTAGTCAGACGCTTGGTAAAGAACGATGCGGTGGTTGCTGGCGGTGGTGCTATCGAAATGGAACTCTCCAAGACTCTACGCGATTACTCGCGTACCATTGCTGGAAAAGAGCAGCTCTTGATAGGAGCGATAGCGAGAGCTCTCGAAGTTATTCCGAGGTACGTTTGTTTTAAGATAACATACGCGTTACCTTTAAGAGAGAGATTTAATTTTTTAGAGTGAGATTCACTTTGAAAAGAGCAAATATACATTGCATTTTTGTTCTATAATTTTAAATCGTCCACCATTTATTTACTCTGTCACCTTCGGTATTTTGGTTCTTTCTAAATAAAATTTGTGTATAATACAACAAATAGAGAAGCAGAAATCGAAAAATCTTTCACCTGATAGACGACAACTCGTTTAATGTCTCAAATATATTGTACATAAACGTTTATGAGATGTAGTAATTAATGATAAGTATCGATTTCAGGCAATTATGCGATAACGCCGGATTTGACGCAACGAATATCCTGAATAAATTGCGCCAAAAGCATCATAAAGGTTTGCAGTGGTACGGCGTTGATATAAAATCCGAGGATATCACAGATAACATGCAATACTGCGTCTGGGAGCCGGCAATAGTGAAGATCAATGCATTAACTGCTGCTACGGAAGCCGCCTGTCTCATCCTTTCTGTTGACGAGACTATCAGGAATCCTAAGAGCAGCCAAGATGGTCCGCAACCTCCAATGGGACGTGGCATAGGCAGACCGATGTAATCTGTCTATTTGTTTGATTTCATCAAAACTGCAGATTCTTATATCACAGTCTGGGCACGAGTGATTTTGTCAAAATTCGATAAGAATGGAAAGTACTCTCTAAAAGTGATATTTACTCTAAAAGTTTTAGAGTAAATATCACTTTTAAAGGTTGAAAATGGGATCTTTCTTTTTCTCAAGACTGGCTCAATTTTCACTCTTTAGAGTGAGATTTTACTCCAACGAATTTAGAGAGTAGATATTTCTTTCTAAATAGACAGATACATATATCTTACTTTAACTTATAATATTTCACTCTATACTTTAATTAAGATTATAGAATGAGATAATATATATACAGGGAGAAATTATATATACATATATATATATATATATCATGCGATTTTGATAAAATCGTTTGTGACTAAACTTTGATATAGGGTCTCTAATTAAGACTAACTAAGAAAACTATAATGTGACACAAGAGCATAGTTTATAAACGCGAACATTATGTCGCGTCTTTACAGCCTTATTATCTCTCGTCATCTTTTGTACATGATAATATTTATAACGAATCATCACAATGAGTTAACAGATCTCATTTCCTGTTTAAAATAAAAACTTATCGTTCCTTAGATATACAAAACAGATGTATCCACGAAAGTTACATAAATATTAAGTGCCCTTAATTTTTTCCATATTTATGTCTCCTTTCCGAATCCGCTGAGATCCTTAAATTTTTTATCCCATTTTTTTTCCAATTTTCGCATGAGTTATCGAAATTTAGTGCGAATTTTGTAAAGTAGACAATTCGATTTTTAAAAAGTTTCCTATTCGAATTTTTGCGTGAACCCAGTGCTATTAAAAAAAAAAAAAAA